GTCTGGAAGTTCTCCGAAGACAGGCACTGGGAAATTTCATCACAATGGGGCAGGACTCTTGAGGAGGAGGAGAAAGGGGAGGGAACTGGAAGGGGAATATATGCTCTGCGCAAATGGCTGTGAACTCATGCTTGTTTTGTGAATCTATCACACTTGCTCCTTCTGCCACCCCGGATGGCAGAATAAAGCTTTTCTCTGAAACTATTCCTTGAGTGTCTGTTGACTCCCATTTCCCTGTCCCGGGCGCAAAGCTCTTCTCATCCGAGGCTAAAAAGGCTACAAGCAGAGTCTGTAACCTGAAGTGTATGTTAAACCCGAGGTACCACTGTATCATTGAATTTGTCCATGGCAAGTCTGCGTTTATCTGCAGGTTGTTCATATGTGGTGAGTTGTAGAAGTCTTCAATCCAATCATAGAAGGGAGACGCATTTTTATTTTTCCAGCTCACCAGTATCAGTCTTTTTACTGTGGTAAGGGCAGGAGAAGTCCACTTGTATTGCCCCTTGTCAGGTTCCATGTGCTGGTGTATAATTCGAAAGGATATTTTGCTCGGTAAAGGTACATTTGGCCTCAGCGATGGAGTCCAGCAAGGAATCATTTAGGCTAGGCAAATGGAGGAGGAAGAGGTTGAAAACTGCGAGACTTACTGGCATCTGTAGCAGCAGCAGCAGCTGGAGCATGGCCTGCAGTGCCACCTGGTGGCCCACCTCGGAACGTCCATGCCCATCCCAGATTTAAAGCTTTAGGCATGTTTTAACACACACCACACACACACACACACACACAGACAAAAATAATAATTCACAAGCAGAAATATCCCAAACAGCTCTTCCCCTGAAATATACTCGGAGTCGAGAGTGGATTCATGCTCTGTATTTGTTGTGACGTGGGTTTGTGATTTCAGCTCTCTTGACATAATATGCTGGAGACAGTTCTCTAGTAACACTTCTTTATTACAGCAAACAAGACTAGACCTGAGGAGGGGAAGCTACATATATAGGGACAGAGAACTAGCTATAAAGGATACATTTTGGAGGGAACAATATCAGGCAATCACAGTCCTGCCTTTTGGAGGAAACCAATAAGACAGAGGATCCAAATACAGCAGCTTAAATGAACCAATAGTAGCTGTACCTCTGGAAACCAAAAGGCAGTTACTTTACACTAATGCACATACAGACAATAATATACAGATATAAATCCTTTGACTCAATACACAACACCCCTCCCCCCCTAGTGAGCACAGCAGACGTAATCTCTTCAGGTACTGTGGGGTCCTACAACTTCTACTTGATCTCCTGACAACAGTGTTGCCGGTTCTGGATTGGGTGTTACCTGTGGTAGGGGGGCTGCTATAGGGGTTTCGTCAGGAACAGATGGAGTCCCAGACATCTCAGGGGTCCCTACCTGTACCTCGTCATCCTGAGGACTAGCAGACCCCTGGTTCATTTGCTGAGCCCCTGGTGACTGCGCCTCTGGGCCATTTTCACTTCTGGTCTTGCAGCTCTGCGTCGTAGCCAGGGATGAATTATCTGACTCCTCCCTGCTGAGCGCCCGGCGCTCAGCTGATCTATATGTCTCTTCCAAACTTGCCCATTTTCCAAGGTACATAATAGGACACAGGTCCACTAGTCCGGTGACACCACCACCCACCCACCACGAACCTCGTGAATAGTTCCTCACCCAGACCAGATCTTCAGGGGCGGAAGATACCTTGTTGTGTCAGTCTCAGCCTGGGGGGTTGCTCTTGAATTACGGTTTGGCATTTTATCCGGGTGGACATAATCCAGCACCGTTACCAGTCTTCTACCCAAGAGCAGCTCAGCTGGCGATTTGCCCGTCGCAGTGCACGGCGTCGCATGCTGCAAAAATAACATTCGCGCATGCGAGCTGACCAGTTACCCTCCATTAAGCGCACAATGATTCTTTGGCTGTTCTTACCATGCGCTCAGCCTGCCCATTGGAGGATGGGTGAAAGGGCGCGGATGTGACCCCTCTTATGAAGTTATCAGCCAAGAATGCCCTGAATTCTTGGGGATACAAAAGCTGCCCCATTATCTGATACAATGGTCTCAGGTAACCCGTGGGTTGCCAAACAGCTGCCTCAACACCTTGATTACGGCAGCTGATGCCATGCTAGGGACCATCGCCACTTCTAACCATTTAGGAATATGCATCGACGATAACCAAAAAGACCTTCCCCTGGAATGGCCCAGCAAAATCTAAGTGCAGCCGGCTCCAGGGAGATCTGGACTGCTCCCACCAGTGAACTGGAGCTCTGGCCACTTCTGGCCGCACCTCTTGGCATGCCTTGCATGTTCGTACCCATTGTTTTATGTTCTGGTCCATTCCAGGCCACCACACATAACATCGGGCTAGCGACTTCATCCTGACCATTCCCGGGTGTCCCATGTGAAGCGTCTTCAAGAACCCTGTTTCTCAGTGGTGCTGGGATGATCACCCTATCTCCCCACAGGAGACAACCCTTATGCAAGGACAACTCGTGCTGCCTTGTCGCATAAGGCCTGAATTTGTCTTCATGCGGACCACCTGGGCCACCCCCTCCCCACCCAAGTGAGGACACGGGAGAGAACAGCATCTTTCCTCCTTTTCTCAGCTATATCAGTAGCCGTTACAGGAGCCCCCGGAAGTGTTTCCAGCATCATTATGTGCTCCGCTGGAGCAGGATCCATTGCTCCCGCCAGGAAGTGGCAATCGACTCAGCGCATCAGCGTGGCACAACCGTTTCCCCGGCACATGGGTCAAGGTGTACTGGAACCCGTTCAGGAATATAGACCAACGCAACATTCTGGGGGAGAGAATTTGTGGCGTTTGCTTGTTCGGGTTGAACAACCCTAACAGTGGTTTGTGGTCCGTTTCAATGGAGAAATGGCGACCGTACACATAATCATGGAACTTTTTGATTCCTGCCACAATTGCAAGCGCCTCTTTGTCAATTTGAGCATAGTTGCGCTCCGTGGGCGACAACGTACGGGAATAGAAAGAGATGGGCTTTTCCGACCCATCCGGTTCCCTATGACTCAGCACCGCCCCCAGGCCGTATTGAGAGGCATCACATGCCAGGACCAGCGGCTTCAACTCATCATAATGAGCAAGGACGCTCCTGCTACTCAGCATTCCTCGCAAGGAGTCAAAAGCCTTCTGCTGCCCCTGCCCCCATCGCCACACATTCTTTTTCTGCAACAGTCTATGTAATGGTTCAGCTACCGAAGCTTTCTGGAGGTAAGAACGAATGATAAAAGTTAATAAGTCCCAGGAATGACTGCAGCTCCGTCTTGTTCTGTGGTCATGGTGCCTCGCTGATGGCCTTAATCTTAGCATCTGTGGGGTGGATGCCTGATGCATCAATTTTAAACCCCAAGAAATCCACAGTTGGCCACCCCAAAACTGCATTTTTTCCTTTTTCAGTTGCAACCCCACCTCCTTGAACTTGAGCAACACTGCACGGACACGCGCAACCAGTTCCTGTGGGTCTTTTCCAGCAATCAAAACGTCATCAAAAAATGGCAAGACCCCTGGCAGACCTCTTAACAGGCGTTCCATGAGCCCTTGAAAAATCCCTGGGGCCACACAAACTCCAAATTGTAATCTGTTAACTCTGAAGGCCCCTTTGTGTGTGACAATAGTCTGTGCTTCCGCTGATTGTGGGGTTACTGGCAGCTGTTGGTAAGCTTGTGCCAGGTCAATTTTGGCGAACACCTTGCCCCCAGCCAGTTTAGCAACAGATGTGATACGACTGGAATGGGGTATGAGTTTCCCCTGAGTGCCTTATTGATAGTACATTTGTAATCTGCACAGATCCTGACTTCCCCATTTGCTTTAAGGGGTGTGACGATTGGAGTCTCCCACTTAGCAGAGTCCACGGGTGAGAGAACTCCCTGCTTGACCAATTTATCCAGCTCTGCTTCGATCTTGGGTTGCAGTGCAAATGGCACTCGCCTTGGTTTGAGTCGGATTGGGGCCACCCCAGGGTCCAATTTGAAGTCAACTGGGGGCCCTTTATAACAACCCAGTTTTTCATTAAAGAGACCAGCAATTCTTTGCATAATGCCTTGCTCATCTCAGGCCAGGTTTGGATTGAATTAAGCCCTGGTATACTCAGTCCCAGGGCGGGGAACCAGTCAGTGCCCAGGAGACTGGAGCGACTGCCCTTCGCAATCACCAGTTTGAGTACCACCTGTTTGTCCCGGAACTGTACTCTCACGGCACAGATTCCCATGACGTGGATGCGGCCCGCTGAGTATGACTGCAAAGTTGCCGGGAAGGGCTCCAGAGGGGGCAACTTACCCCTGGGGAAGAATGTCCTCGCGGTCTGGTCCGACACGATAGTGAATCCAGATCCGGAGTCCACCTCCATGTCGCACAGCTGACCCTCAATCTTCACCTTGACATGTGCCTTGCCTTGCGCTGGAAACTGCACGACCCTCCCGTTGATCTCCGTTACGTAGTGGCAGTCCTTTAGAACATGGTTTGCTGTGGGCGGTCTGCGATGCTCCAGTCTAGGTGCTCCTGTCGCTCCCAACGCCGCCGATCTACAGACCCTGGCGATGTGACCTGTCTTCCCGCACGTCCGGCACATAGCATCCCGGAAACGACAACTCTTCCGCTCATGGTTTCCGCCACAACCAGGGCACCTGCCTCGGTGATCTTTGTGCACTGTGCAGGCCTGACGCACTGACTCGACCCCACGGACTGGGCTCTGGCTCGGAGTAGCCTCTAGCTCGTCCATGGCATGCACAACTTCTATCTGTGGCTTAGGGGCCTTGCGACTGGCATCAAGCTCCTCTCTTTCATAATTCTCCGTGGCGGTGGCCTCCTTCAAGGCTGACGCAAGGGTAACCTCTTCTTTAGCCATGATGCGTCTTCTGGCTTTCTTGCTGCTCAGACCACCGATAAACCGATCCAGGAGAGTCTCTTCCAGATCTTGGAAGTCGCAGTGCTGAGCGAGCTTCCGCAGTTCAGCTAGAAATGCAGATACAGACTCCCCAGCACGCTGCTGCCTCTTATGAAACTCCATCCGCCAGGCCATCTTGGTCTCAGTAGGCGCCAAATGGCTTGTTAGGCAGGCAAGAATATCTTTGAGAGGTGTCTCACTTAGCTTTGCTGGAGCAAGCAATGCCTTGGCCAGCTTGAAGATCTCAGGCCCACAGTAGCTCAGGAATGTGGCCCTTCTTTTGCTGGCATCGGTGATCCCTTGAGCCACTGCGAAGAACTCGAAGCGTTCGACGTAGTCTTCCCACGTGTGGGGCTCTGATGGCTGGAAGGGCTCCAATACCCTTGGACTCTCCATTGTCCTGGTGGGCAGGGTCGTCTTCTCAGCTGGCCAGTGAGTCTTGTTCTTAGCTACAATCCGGACTCTGAGTCAGGGCTGCGTTTAACCGCTCCTCAGCATTCCGGATCCCACCTTCGTCGCCAGTTGTTGTGACGTGGGGTTTGTGATTTCAGCTCTCTTGACATAATATGCTGGAGTCAGTTCTCTAGTAACACTTCTTTATTTAAGCAAACAAGACTAAGACCTGAGGAGGGAAGAGCTACATTTATAGGGACAGGGAACTAGCTAGAAAGGATACATTTTGGAGGGAACAATATCAGGCAATCACAGTCCTGCCTTTTGGAGGAAACCAATAAGACAGAGGATCCAAATACAGCAGCTTAAATGAACCAATAGTAGCTGTACCCTCTGGAACCAAAAGGCAGTTACTTTACCCTAATGCAAATACAGACAATAATAATAATACAGATATAAAATCCTTTGACTCAATACACAACAGTAGTGTTGAGGGAATAGGAGAATCTGGTCATAAAAAAATGTGCCATTACATCTGAAGGGCCGTAAACTGGAGAACCCCCTCTCCTAGCGTGTTCTGAGGGTACAACCCATAGGGATATTGCTGAAGTTCTGCAGCGTGTGTGTCTTATCAGAGACCAGATGAGGGACCAGCTGAGAGGCATCCTCAGTTCCACAGAAGAAGGGTGAGATAAGCCAAAACATATTATTGTGGCCATGATAACTTGAAACTTGATCTCTGCTCTTCAGGTGTTGTTTTTTCACATGGTGAAAACTGGGAAAGCGATGCGGCGGTTCTCACTAAGCACATTACGGGACTATGGCATGGGGAAAAGGTCCATAGAGGACAGAATTGTGGAAGAATGCAGTGTCCTGATTAAGACATTTGAATCTTACCAAGGTGGGTTAGTGTTTCCCTCTACTGCTCCAGGGCAAAACAACACCACATTAGATGCCCACAATATTGTGTAATATACATATTGCTAACTCTCAGAACTATAGTAACCATGATTCCCTGTGAAGAAGTAACCAATCTGCAGTGTTCAGGTCAGTGTGAGGTAATGCTGGCCTCTGTCCCTCTTTCCTGTCCTTCCTCCTATGATTCCCTCTCACATCTCTGCCTCCCAAAGGCTTGCACAGCTGTTTGTTGCAGCAGCCCTGGCTACAAGTTCCCCAAGTGAACGGTGCCTTTGTGGCTGGCCAGGGGGTGCTGGTTTCCCAGGGGCTGATGTGGTTCAGCCAGTCCACCAGCCCTTGATGTTGGTAATGGACAGGCAAGTGGGAGGCTGGACAGGCAGGCACTGCACTGGCCTTTATTGAGCTTGCTGTGTGCAAGGCCTGCCTGGGAGCTGAGTGTACAGCGCCGAAGGGAGCCTTTTCCCCATTCAGGCCTGGTGGCGCCCACTGCTACCACTGCTGTCTCCCAAGGCATGTAAAGGTGCTGGCTTCACATTCACCTTCGTCCTGTCTCCGTCAGGCCAGTAAGGCTGGGGCATTGTCTCCTAGGCCCTTGTGGGGCAGCATGAGGAGGGCACCTCTCTTTGGGGCAGGGGGTGGCTCAGAGACCAGGGGTGGCTGTGGCAGCTGCCTGGAATGTTTAGATTCCACCTAAACATTAGGAAGAACTTCCTGACAGTAAGAGCTGTTCGACAGTGGAATTTGCTTGCCAAGGAGTGTGGTGGAGTCTCCTTCTTTGGAGGTCTTTAAGCAGAGGCTTGACAACCATATGTCAGGAGTGCTCTGATGGTGTTTCCTGCTTGGCAGGGGTTGGACTCAATGGCCCTTGTGGTCTCTTCCAACTCTATGATTCTATGATTCTAGAGGACTCCCAAGGAGAGCGGAGAGGAGAAGAGGCTGAGGGAACACTTCATGAGGGAGGGTGTTTGGAAAAGTGTGAGAGGCGCCGGCTTTGCAGGCAAGGGGTGACATAACTGGCTCCTGAGGCTTGGAGTGCATTTGCCCCACAGGAAAACCATAGAAAGAATGTAGCTGGTCAAGGGAGTCATGGACTCAAAAAGGATGAAGACCTCTGCTTAGGTATATACTGCCCATGACTCTTTTTAGAGTTGCTTAACTCAGATATTTTCAAGTACACCAGAATTTAGGATCAGTTTCTAAGATAAATGTGCTCTATACATTGGTAGGAACCTAACACAGAGAAGAGCTATTCTAATTGGTATTTTATCTGAACATCGTTTAATATTATGTATAGGACAACCTTTTGAAACCACCACAATTATTAATGCCGCTGCTGCGAATATCATAGTGTCCATCCTACTAAACAAGCGATTTGAATACGAAGATTCCACATTTAGAAAGCTTCTGAAGTTGGTCAATGAAAATGTCCGGCTTTTGGAAGCCCCTCTGTCATGGTAATCTAAGCTTTTTCAAATGGAAAAGAAATAGTTGGTTGTATTCACTGAATACTCAATGTGTGTGCAATTCCATATTGTTCAGGATTCACTTAAAAACTCATTTTGAGAAATATGAGTCGCTTTCAGACCATTTTAAAAAGCAGTCTTCCCCCCATTTATTATTTCATTCATATAATTGGATATTCTGCTTAAAATATAATAGCTAGATAACTTAAACCATAATTGACTTTTTTGTATACAGTATTGATGCCCTTGGCCACTTCTGGTTGACCTCTATCTAGGTGCTTGTCCACATCTGAGCAAACTGCTAATCCACAAGTACAAGGGGGCTCCATAACTACAACAGCACATTAGAAAATGGCCTTCAGCCTTGGCCTCTAAGGGATATTGACTCAACGTTGCTCCAACCCAAATACATTATTGTTCTGTGTCATTGTTTATTCCTCTGTGGAAGATGAGATATTTGGAGTACCACCTGAGAATTAAGCACTGGGCTTTTCTCTTTGTCGTATTTTATCTTTACAGCTGTATAATATATTTCCTGCTCTTGGCTCGCTTTTGGGGAGCCCGTAAAACTATCCTTCACGAACAGAGATGAGATCCAGGCCTTCATAAATGCCACCTTCATACAACACCTCAGAGATCTGGATGAAAATGACCAAAGGAGCTTCATTGATTCATTTCTTCTGAGACAGCAAGAGGTAATGGAGTCTTTTAAGCCCACCAATAATTTTTTTTTTTATATTTTCAAATGTTAATAATAATAATATAAAGCTTTGGCTAATATCTGGAGTCTGTGACCTGATAGCTTGCAGGGCTGTTTTCCACTCGGACTCCCACTCCTCTCAAAAGACAAAGAAAAAAACCACCTTTGAGATACAGTAGTTCAGTTGGTTGGAACACGTTGCTGCGTACGCCAAGGTTGCAGATTCGATCCCTGTAAGGGACAGCTGCAGTCCTACACTGCAGATGTTTGGAACAGATGATCCTCAGGGTCCTTCCAACTCTATGATTCCATGATTCCATGACTAGTCCAACACATCATGCTCCCCCCCCCTCAGTTTTTCTTTTGCACCATGCTCCTTTCTTCTGCCTGTGACATGCTTTCATGGAGAAAAGAGATTTGAGTGTGCTGGCTGTGTACGATTTTTCTGCTTTCCTAGACAGCTTCTCTGTTCTTTCCATTCCAGTGAGTGCCTCCCAGCCCTTGGCTAGCTACTTTGATATCTGCACATGGAATTTGCTCATCACCTTGTTATAGCCAACTCTTTCTCTTACACCCCAGGAGAAGGACAAGCTGGATGGATATTTCAACACTGAAAACCTAAAAGCAGTTGTGAGTAACTTATTTTCTGCTGGCACAGAGACCACTGCTACCACACTGCGCTGGGGACTGTTACTAATGATGAAATATCCTGAAATTCAGAGTGAGTGCTTTTCATTGCGTTGGCTCCCATTACCCTAGCTAGCATATCTTGATTCCAGTTATACATAACTATCTGGGGGCCCGGGAAGCTGGGGGGCTGAGCCCCACAATTCTCAATGAGGGGGACGGCCCCCCTCAATATTCCACAATACGGTGGGTCTTGTTGGGCCTAGTTTCAATGTGTGACATCACACATGTCAGCCCCCCCAAATGTTGGGTGTAATCAAGCATGCATGTTTCTGACTTTCGCATCCTACATAACTATAAGCAAATTGTATATTTCCACTAAAATTCTCAGGTGCATAGCGTCTTCCACAATTTTGCATTATGTTGTGAGATTGTGCTCATAGATCAGGCAGTCCCATTGCATAATTACCTGTCAGTTACTCCAGGAAATGTGAAGATATGAGTTGGTGGCAAAAATAAGCTTTTGAGTTTGGCATTTGGGGGGTGGGGACAAAAAAAAACCCACCAATGAGTTTATTTTAACAAAAAAATTCCCCCTCCACTGCCCCCAGGTAAGGTCCAAGAAGAAATTGCAAAGGTAGTTGGATCTTCTCAACCAAGGTTTGAGCACCGAACGAAAATGCCATATGTAGATGCAGTGATCCATGAGATCCAGAGATTTTCTGACGTTAGCCCAACAAATCTGCCACATGCAACCACTGTGGATGTTACCCTCAAAGGCTACTTCATTCCAAAGGTAACCACTTTGATTAAACTGCATTCTTTGCTCAGCTGACTGCGATCAATTTCTTCATTAATTAGGACATTGGAGCCCCAGTTCCCTAGTCTGGGCCTACTTGCTTCTTCCTTCCTCGCTGCATACAGGTCTTTATTGAGTTATCCCAGAAAAGTTGGGCAAGGGGCTCAGTCAACTATTCTCTTAGTCCAGTCCAGTTCTGCTGGATCTCTCAGCGGCCTTTGACACCATCGACCACAACATCCTTCTGGACTGTCTAGAGGGGCTGGGAGCTGGGGTCATTGTTATTCGGTGGTTCCACTCCTTCCTCCTGGGCCGTGTCCAGAAAGTGGTGTTGGGGATGAGTGTTCAGACCCCTGGGCTCTCACTTGTGGGGTGCTTCAGGGTTCCATCCTCTCCCCCATGCTTTTTAATATCTATATGAAGCCGCTGGGAGAGATCATCAGGGGGTTTGGGCTGGGTGTTCATCAGTATACAGATGACACCCAGCTCTACCTCT